ATAATATATTTTGATGATTACTTATCAGCATTGATTTCAATACTCATCAATGCTGCTAATGAATCACTACAAATTATAAATTTATTTCCTTTACTATCCTCCACCCATTCTAAAGCTAATAATATAGCACACAATTCTACTGCATAGATACTCAAGTCATCAGATGTTCTTTTTGAAATTTTTATCTTTAACTCTAGAATCACTACTGCTATACTAGTTACTTCGTTTTAGGATCTTTTGAACCATCAGTATAAATCTGTACATAATCATTATATTTATTTTGTATTTGATGATAAAACTCTTGGCACATATCTATCATCTTTTTCCCCTGAATATCTAATAGTGACTTGTCTACATTAATATATTTCCATGACCATGCTGGTCTCATATGCCATACTACTGTTTGACTGAATTCTTTGTCAAATACATTAAATGTTTTTGCTCTATTATCTGCCACCCCCCAAAACTATTACTTTTCCTTTTCCTCTCTCCCAACAATTTCGTAACACTTTCTTAACTGGATGATCTTCATTTTGTCCTTTTAAACTTATCCAATAATTTACCATGATCTGCTGTTTTCTAATACATAATGGCATCTCTCCTGACTCTACTTGTAATGCACATACTGGAGTAGATTTAACTGCCTCTAAGCAAATTCTCAAAGCTCTTGCTTGAATAATATCCAATTTGTTTAACCTAGTTTTGCTTGCTGATCCATATACCACACTCCCATAATCTATTCTAGATCGTATTAATGACACATAAATATTTTTAAGTGATTCAAAGTTTGCACCCCATGTCAACCCTGTCAAGCACCTCATAATGTTAAGAACCTTTTTACTTTTTTCCATAATGTGATCTATATGACTTTCCCAAGTTAGTTTCTTATCAAAGACTACTCCCAAAAAACGAAACTCAACCATTTCTAACTCTTTCCCATATAAATAATTTTTTTTTATCAATTCTAACTTTCTTATTTGTAAAGAACATTACTTTTGTCTTCTCAATTGAAAATTTAAAACCCCACTCAATTCCCCACTTACCTACTATATCTATACCTTCCTGAAGTTTTAAAATAAGATGTTGTATATTTCTTCCCCTTTTCCATAATGCTCCATCATCAGCAAATAGTGATTTCCCAAAACTAACTGTTCTACTATACTACTTCTTTTTCTTCTTTCCTATTGTAGCAGATCGAAAGCAACTTTAAGGTGCATACCGCCACTACTGTATAAGAGTGTGTAAAACACTACTTTACATCTATTAAATTCTTTTTAATTTTGTACTCTGAAGATGAATAAATAATGCTTTCCTTAATCTGTAAATATCCACTATATTTCCTTCATATCCCAATATTCCTTTAAGACTCCATTCTTGACCTGTCCTAACCATTCTTATCAGTCTCTCCCTTTCAGGTTCATGTTTTACCATTCATCAATATATGTTCTACATTTTCTTTCTTTCTTTCTCCACATCTTTCACATTTGAACAACATATTAAATGAATCATTTGTATATTCCATCTTGTTCTCTAAAATTGTTGTTTCTCTTAATTTTTTCCTTCTTCACCAATTTTTTCAAAACTACAAATTTTAACAGAAATATTTACCAACATTTTTGCCTTTTCCTTGTCATCCAATGCTGTTATTTCTACATCATTTAGTTTTGGACATCCACTCACTCTTTTAATCCCATTAATATGGATTGCAAAATAGTCAAAATAAATGTGCATGCGTGTAATACAGGATTTGTAATCTGTGTAAGGATCTTTGTGTGTAACTTTGGATAGTTGTATCTGTGAAACATGATTTTTAAACCGTAAAAAGAAAATTTGTTCATAATTTCGGGTACTTGTAAATATGTGGTCAAATGAACATATTGTTAAATATGTCAATCCAGTCATTTAAAGTTGGTTTGTCTTGTGATAACCATTTTCTTGTAATGTTTTTCTTACTTGCTGTTAATAAAATAGTCACCAGATATTTGTTTCTTTTTTGTGGCTTTTTGAGGAATTATCCCAAAATACATCAACTTGAACTCCAAGGAAATGTTCTGGTTAAAAATATCTTGTAAGGCACTATTTATCTTTTTCCAGTAATATTTTTCCAGTCCCAGAAGACGTGATAATGATTTGTGTTTTGATTTCTGCATTTTCTCCAACATGCAGGAGGGTTTCCATCAGTGCCATTTCTGAGCCGGTGTGATAAAGAATCTTAGCAGATTTTTCTATCCAAATTCTTTCCATTGTAGAGATTTATTATATGTCCATTGATATGTCCACATTATTGTCCGTTTCTCCTCTTTATTGTTAAATTTCCCTCTCTTTCCCATCTTGCTTTGATATGTAGGGTTGAATTATTTTTAAGATCTATTAGGTTTTCATAGATAAGCGAGATCATTTTTCCTTTAATTTTTGATTAATAGGCATTAATAAAAAATTCCATTAAGTTTACATTCTTGTCAGTAATTGGTTTAATTTTTAAGTCAGCAAAATTCCTTATTTGTAAATATTAATAAAAGTCTTGTTTGTCCAAGGAATATTTTCTCTTAAGAGTTTGGAAGTCATTTAAGATGATGTTGTTCATTAATGTGCACAGAGCAGTGATTCTCTGGCGTCCAGTTTATTTGGTGTAAAGTCAGAATCATATGCAACCCATTTTTTGACTGCTAGGTCGTTCGCTAGTGCATTTTCTTTAGCAATAGTTTTCCACGCTCTAAGGGTTGTTTTCATCCACCAGTTATCTATATTATTTATGAAACTTTGTAATTTGTATCAGCTGGAATTAATTGTACAGAAATGAGTGTTGCCTTTGTTTCAATAGATTTCCATTGAGCATTATGTTAGTTCGTAACAGTATATATGTGTTCTTGCTTGTGCTGCCAAATAATAATTTGTAAGGGAAGGCAACCCCCTCACTCCCATTTTCTTTTCCAGTTGAAGACTTTATATCCAATTCTCGGTCTTTTACATTGCCAAATACATCTTGATAGTAATTTGTCCCATTCATTAAAAACTTTTTGATTTATTTCAATGGGCAAAGTTTGGAATAAATATAACAATCTGGCAGTATGTTCACCTTAAGTTAATTCTTGAGCTAAAACTTAGAAAAGGAGTAAGATTCCATCTTGTAATATCTTCTTTAACTCTTTTTTTGCATGGGAACATAATTATATTTTAAATTTTTTTTGAGGTCCTTTGGTATAGTAATGCCTAGATATTTTAAAATGGTCAGTGTGCCAATATAAGGGGTACCTGTTTTGAATTTCCTGAGTTTCTCTGCTGGAGTTTTTTTGTGCCTGCGAGCACAAAAAAAACTTAGAGCCATAACTCCATTGACTGTAATGGACATTTCTTCCATTACAGCCAGCTCTTTGGTTCTGTCCTGTTTTTTATAGTTTTTCCGGTTTCTTCTCTTGCTTATTCCACTCATGCCCACTCATCGATCAAGTTCCTATTTCGTTGTGGACCTTTTTTACCCGACTCTGGGGAATTAGCTGACTATGATCCTACTCTCTCTGCCATCTTGAAATAGAAAAAAATCCCATGGAAAAAAGATTTTAAGATTTTCTCCACCACCTTTGGGGGTGTTTCCCACTTTGATCTCGGGGTTTCCAGTCCATATTCTGCACAGATGTTTCTGTACACTATGCCTGCCACTTGGTTATGTCGCTCCATGTACGCTTTCCCTGCCAGTATCTTGCACCCTGCTATGATGTGCTGGACTGTCTCAGGGGCCTCCTTGCACAACCTACACCTTGGGTCTTGTCTGGTGTGGTAGATCTGGGCCTCTATTGCTCTGGTGTTTAGGGCCTGTTCCTGGGCGGCCAGGATGAGGGCCTCTGTGCTGTCCTTGAGTCCAGCTTTTTCCAGCCATTGGTAGGATTTACTGATATCAGCCACTTGGGTTATTTGCTGGTGGTACATCCCATGTAGGGGCTTGTCCTCCCATGATGGTATCTCTGGCACCTCAACCTCCGTTCCCTGTTGTCTGAGACATTCACTGAGCACATTGTCTGTTGAGGCTTTGTCCCTGATGTATTTATGGATCTTAGTTGTTTCGTCCTGGACAGTGGTTCTCACACTCACTAGTCCTCTGCCTCCGTCCTTGCGGCTCGTGTACAGTCTCAGGGTGCTGGATTTGGGATGGAACCCTCCATGCATGGTTAGTAGCTTTCTAGTCTTAATATCTGTGGCTTTTATCTCCTCCTTTGGCCAGCTAATTATTCCAGCAGGGTATCTGATTACTGGTAGGGCATAGCTGTTTATCGCACGGATTTTGTTCTTGCCATTGAGCTGGCTTCTCAGGACTTGCCTTATTCGTTGGAGGTATTTAGCTGTGGCTCCTTTCCTTGTGGCCTCATCAAGGTTGCCATTTGCTTGTGGTATACCTAGGTACTTGTAACTGTCCTCTATGTCTGCTATTGTTCCTTCTGGGAGTGAGACCCCTTCTGTGCGGATGTCCTTCCTCTCCTATATATTAATCACCCAAAATATTTGAAGCATTTGATTAAGCATTGTTAATCTTTATTGCATTTCTTTAAAAAAATGGAAAATGTTGGATAATGACTCGTCAACTTTGAGTACTGGTTTGTTGACTTTGTCAATATATAGCGAACTACCAGGCAGAAACTTTGAGTAAAACTGGTTTCTAGTTCAGTATCCCACATTTCCTCTTGCAGGCCAGTTCTGCATTTGTAAAGCAGAGGCCAAAAATGCATTGAAAATGAGATTTTGTTTCACTTTCCCCCTTCTCTTGTGCTTTAAAAAGTGCAGTTTTGAGCCATTTGTATCATTTAGGACAGTTAGAATTAACTGTCCTAAATAATACAAATTATTTAGGACAGTCCTTGGATACATGCTAAAATTAATCACATGCAATAATAAATGTATATCATCAATCAGAATTGGATCATCTGGACCGTTATAGTTCCTTGTGGGTTCCCCCAGTTCTGACAGAGCATTTTAGTAGCAATGACTGATGAAAAAAGGAAACAACAATGTGTAAAAAGCAACTTTGCTGGTGAGTATGACTATCCAGCAAGAAACATTTATTGAGCTTAAGTCTTACCTTTGTACATCTCAGTTTGTGATTATTTTGGCAAAAGTGCTTGATGACAAAAATCCTCAAAATACAAGTAGATGCAGTAAGAAAAACTGAGTTGCTTAAGATTTTTTTATGGACTGAACAATACTTGATCAAAATGTTATATTGTATTAAGAGTTTTGGAAGACAGCTGAAGTCTTTTCTTCACTGATAAATGATTAATCTGTTCAAACTGGGTTACTCTTTATGGCTTCCATCCAGTTTCTTGAACAAGACCTAACTTCTGCCAGTCTGCATTGAGCCTCCTGCTGCATGTTCCCTGAGTCCCATGTAAGTCCACCTTAGATCTGCAAACAAAAGATTATAATCACACTTTCAGTATTCTGTCCTGAGAACCTTTAAGTTGTTCTGTTCAAAAACATGCAACTATAAGAGCCAAACTCCAACACCTCACTTCTAAATAACCCTGCAGAACAAAGCAGCGCTATTCCCACAGGTCTCTTGTAGCAATGTATACAGGGGCTTTGTAGACCTTAAAATTGGTTACAGCTGGAATCATTTTTTAACCATGCATAAATATCATAACAAACCAAAACTCAGTGTTGTATAAGTACTGAAATCTCGGAGTCAAGTAAAAGTATAGGTACCGCTCCAAAATATGACTTTGGTAAAAGTAAAATTCACTGATTGAAATATTACTTGAGTTAAAGTATTAAAGTACCTGAAATGTCTTGTACTTAAATATGGAAATTACTGTAAAAATGGATGTACTCAAGTAATGTAATGAAAAGTACAAGTAAAAAGTAAAACAAGGCAAATGCAGTTTGAATGACATTTTTTATATTGTGGTAAACTTGTCAAATACACTTAAAATAATGTACAGAACCAAGTGCAGGCAAAATGAAACCTGCTAATAGATAAACCTGCAGGCATCATTTAGTTAAGAAAATTAGGTGCTTTACCTACAAGGTTAACTTAACCTGCTTTACAACTGAACCAGCTTCTTAGTAAACCCTCCAGGACAGAAAATACAAAGTTTTTTAAGCCTTAAGTTTTCCCTTTAAGTAAGGTCAGTGTTGAAAATGAGAAAAATAGTCAGTACAGAAAATGCGGCCAACATGAAGAAAAAACCCCGTTATGTTTACTCTACTTCACAAACTATAGGTGAACACAACTGGTCATTATGCAAAAGAAAAAGAATTGGGAGGGAAATGCAGCTTATTTGGCATCAGAAGAGGGAGAGCTTTTTTGTTAACTTGGTGTTTAATGGGAGAAATGAAACAGACCTCCATGAAGCTGACACCCACCTACGTCAAAAAATCCAGCAAATACTCTGATTGGTTAGTGCTCCGTTTGTGCCGTTAAAATTTTCGTTTGTGCAGCTTTGGTTTCCGAGATATTAAAAATTATTTTTTTAGGCCATCCAAAATATATACTTTTTAAGATTACAATTACTGAAAATATTGAGTATGACTACTTCATACTCAATATTTTGTGTCATGAATTTTGTGTCAGTTGGTCACAAGGCAAGAAATCTATTTCCATTAGTTTCTCAGGAGAGTTTGGATGTAAAATTTGTTGACTCTCCCTGAGTGAACCTCCGAGCGCTGGAGGAAGGGGGAGTCCTAGAGAACGACTGGCCGAAATTAGCGTTCATGAATCTGATCAACCTCGAGCTAGACGCCGCTCACACCGGATATTGGAATAGCCAAAATCCAAATTGAAAACAACTTTGCTGCGTTTGTTTTAACGGCACAAACGGAGCAGTAACGAACCAGCCCACTTTGGAGCAAAATGGGGGATGGTTACTCTGGATGGCCTAAAAAAATCATTTTAATATCTCGGAAACCAAAGCTGCACAAACGAACATTTTAACGGCACAAACCTACACAAACGGAGCACTGACCAATCAGACTGTTTGCTGGACTTTTTGACGTAGGTAGGGAGGTGCAAAACCTGTGCATCCTATTGGTGGAGATGAACAAGCCCAGGCAAGTCGGCTACCGACTTTGTTGCAGTCAATCAGTAGGTGGGATCAAAACATTTGCGTTTCTCTCTTGCTTTTTTGTAACGAGTAACTAAACCACATTGAAAATGTGTAAAAAAATAAAGTAAAAGTATGCAATTAAGTTCGGGAATGTAGTGAAGTAAAAGTGAAAGTTATCAAAAATCTTCTTACTCGAGGAAAGTATGAAGTACTCCAAAATATACTTAAGTAAAGTAGTGAAGTAGTTTTACTTCGTTACTATACAACACTGCCAAAACTGAACTAATAATTAAATTTTTCAGGATTGGGAAGCTACAGTGGTATGCTGCTAATGTTTGTGCTAGCGCATAAAAGGACAGGAATACAAGAAAAAGGACCGGACTACACGGGAAATCAAAATACAGCTCAAGGAGGATTTGAACAAGTGGGGAATTTAAATATTTTAGTGAGCATGTTTTGCTCTTACCTGTTATGAGTCATGTGACTCTTGACAAGGTGCCCAGCAGCCAGAGCACTCAGCAGTGAGAGCTCTCCAGCCAGCACTGTAGCACATACAATCCTGGCCAGCTGGCAGGCATTCTCCCCTGGGTACTGCTGACTTGCACCCTGGACTCCCAGCATCTGAACAAATCATGCACATGTTATTTTTCTTTATCTGTGTAGAAACTGTCTATCGACTTCCATTCATTTGTATTGCCTAACCCCAACTAAATTGAACCATTACCAGTATATACTGAACCCTAAACTTTACAGAAACTCAATTCCATGCAGCTTGCATGGAGCAACCTAAAGAGAGGAACCAGAAAGGCTAAAAGAGATTACAAGAGGAGGTTGGAGGAGCACCCAGAAAATCAGGCACGTGCATTTATGTGCATGCATCCTGTTTTTTGTTTTCTGTATTAGTGCTGCATAAGTTTTGTCCTGTTATTGTTATTTTTGTATACATTTTCAAAATCTAATAAACATAATATAAAAAAACAAAACAAAAAAACTCCCCCTCAGGATAAGAAATAATTCCTCACTTGAACCTGTGAAACTTTAAGGTAACCCATTCGAACAGTGTGTTTATGGAGCTACAGGAATCCTGTTAAAATTAGGCTGGTGTTTGACTGGCTGGGCTGACAGCTGGAGAGTTGTAAATACAGTAATCTGTAATTACTGTTCCATATTTTAATAAACTGATCCAGTTCAGTGCAACTGTCAGGCCAAACAAACCAGCTGTACTTGGTTAAACTCTATAGAGGAAACAATGATATTCAGGCATGTTGTTTGCTAACTCAGCTTTACTATGAGTTAGTGAAACAGGTTTACGTGTCTGCATGTGTGTTTCAGTGTGTGTGCACATGTTTGTGTGTGTGTGTTTTAGTGTAGGCCTGTGGGTGTGCATGTGAATGTGTACATACCTTGAGGCAGGCTTGTTGAGGGGGCAGGTTAGTGCCTCCTCCCACAGTGCCCACCTCTATAGAGGGCATAGTGCAGCTGATGTACAGGTCCTTCCCTGTTGGTCCTGATGGCTCCATGAGAGTAATGCAGTTACTGCTGGTCACTGACTGGGCCGGATCCTGGTAAACACACATGGAGAGACATGTTTAATGCTAAAGTGTAATAAAATAAAGGAATAAACATGATTAAAAAGAACCTCCTTACCTGCCCACAGGCTATTAGATGGCAGCCACCAAGTTGGCAGCGTGTGCATTAAATCCACCAATGCTGCCTGCCATGGCTGAGCCAACCAGGTTTTTACTGATGTTGACTTCTATCAAGGCCTCAGTTGTAGTCTTCAAAACCTGAGGAATGGGAAAAACAGGAAAATCAATTGTGAGACAACCACCAATGGTGATCTCTGTGTGTTGGAGATCACCATTCATATGTTAATAGAGAGATGTTTTCTCCCTACTGGCATCATATGCTTCCTCTGGATGGGGAATTCATCTAAATTCATCTTAGATATGTTTTATCATAACATGGTCAACTAAATTTGAGTGTACTGTATGATACATCCAGGGTCCCTGGAAGGAACTGCCAAAGGCGTTGCCTGCTTTGTCCAGATGACAGTGGGTTTGTTGAAACAGGTGTATGATGGCGTCATCAACTCCAACTATGTTGGCGATAAGCAAACTGCAGGAGTCTTGATATGACCTTGTCTTCTTACTCAGATGGGCCAACAGGAATCGCTACAGGACATATTGTGGGATGTCAGGGCAACAGGCCTACAGTCGTTGATGACTGATGGATGAGTTTTCTTTGGTACCAGAACCAGGCAGGATGTCTTCTTCAACCCTGACCACACATCTCTGACATTATTCTTCAGCGGTTTATTCTCCAGCCTCTTCCTGTACTTCTCTTTGTTGTCTCTAATCTTGACTTTGAACTGTTTCTGAATACTCCTCAATATGTTCCCTTGAGACTCTTTTCGTACTTGTTTAAAAGTTCCTTTATGTCACTGGTGATCCAGGGGTTGTTATCCAGGAAGCATCTCACTGTTCTGGTGGGGATGGTGCCATCCACACAGAAGTTAATATAGTCCACAGGTGCCAAACTCCAGTCCTCAAGGGCCGGTTTCCTGCAGTGTTTAGATGTACCACAGATACAAAACTCTGGAATGAAATGGCTTAATTACCTCCTCCTTGTGTAGATCAGTTCTCCACAGCCTTGCTAGTGACCTAATTATTCTATTCAGCTGTGGTGCAGCAGAGGCACACCTAAAAGTTGCAGGACACCGGCCCTTGAGGACTGGAGTTTGACACCCCTGATATAGTCAGTCACACACTCAGTCATGGCACTGATGTCATCTCCATGTGGCTGGCAGAGAGTAGTCCAATCAGTTATTTTAAACAAGCCCCGAGGGCCTCTTCTGCTTCCTGTGACCATTTCCTAACAGTTATCTTCCTAACAGGCAGCCTCTTAACTAGGGGTTTGTATTCAGAGGAGAAAAACATGATTACGGTTCGATTTTCTCAGAGGAGGTTTTGCATTCTTGACATCAATGTAAAGCAAATCCAAAAACTTGTTTTCCTGGGTGGAGCAGCTGACAAAATGGTGAAACATTGGCAGCATAGAAGAGAGTAAGGCGTGATTAAAATCACCAGAAATTGGAGACGCATTATCGGCAACAGTTCAGGGTGACATTTAAACAACTGCCAAAATAACACTGGTGAACTCTCTTGGTAAATAATATGGTCGGAAACTTACTTGCAAGAGTTCAATGTCTAGTCTACAGAGATGACACTTCACAGTAACATGTCCTGGATAACACCATCTGTTGTTCAGAAACACTGCTAATCCACCTCCGTTTTTCCTGCGGCTCTTTAAATCTGTCTGCTCGAATAGTCAGTCTTTTTTTATTCTTAATGTCTTCTAATTCAAGTCAAAAATAGAATGTAGTGCAACTGCTGGTGTCTTCTCACCTCACCTTCTCCCCTTCACAATAAAAGTATACATTCAGGTATGAAATCAATCAATCAATCAATCAAATTTTATTTTGTATAGCACATTTCAGCTACAAGGCATTTCAAAGTGCTTTACATCATAAACACAAAACACAAAGGCATGCAACATAGAATAAAATACCAAGGTTTTTTTTTTTTTTTTTTTTTTTTTTTTTTTTTTTTTTCCCCTTCCCTCTTCTTTCCCTTTCTTCCCCCTTCCCTTTGACACGGAATTTAAGCGCCTGTTACCGCCGGACTCCGCCGTCCGTTAACCACGGGTATTCGCCGGGCCCCGTTGCCCACAACAGGAAAAAAAAATAAATAAATAAATAAATATATATGTACTTTATATCCGCCTGAACATGTGAAACATCACAAGTACATAAAATAAAACACACACAAACAACAGCAACAAACAAATCAATTTAAATACCTAACGGTAATGACTAGTTAGTTTAATAAGTCGGCCATCACGGTTTCTCTTCACAGGAACAGGGGTTGAAATTGAAAGAGACTTTCCAGATCAACTGCGACCAAACTGTCCACCTGAGGAGGACAAACTAGCTATAAGGGGAGAACCCGGAAATGAAGGTAAAGAAACTGGCGGACGACCACGGCAAGATGGCTGAGCCAACTTAACTGGGTCCCCCAGGTAACACATGAGCTGGCTTGAAACTGTCCACCGAAATACTCTACTGATAACCCCCCAACTCCATCAAAAAAAATCCTCTCCTAAACATGGAATGTACCATTGTAAGGAGGCTGAAGTGGTGAGTGTTAGCGCGGAAATACTTTTTATGGAGTTGTTTTTGCAGAAAGATTGTTGGCGTCAGAAAGGTAGACCTGACCTGACTTTCTTGCTTAAAAATCACAAAAGTTGGACCAAAACACGGGTTGGGAAGTAAGCTGTTTAGATAGATAAGAACAACAATTGTGATTAATTGGCTTATTTGGCAGTTCTGATGTGGAGCAGATGTTCAGATCAAGAGGTCATTAGTGTTCCAGAGAAACTCCAACACACACTCAGTCAATGGGCAGCCAAGAATCTTGACGCAAAATTCTATTTGGAATTGGTCAAAACTTGCCCCTTACACTTTAATGTCATTGGGAAGCTATAAAAAGAGCCTGTTGACAAAGAACGGAGAGATTTTGAGATTTTTGGGGATTTTGGGGAACAGACTTTGGAAATGATGTTTTTGTATTGATGCATCCGTGGTAGATGTGTTAATAAATCTCCCAACCCGTTGTGGCTGGCAGTAAAGGATTTGTCTCTGAGTTTTATTTGTTTATCCATATATTTGAGAGTTTTGCACCTTTTGATTCTCCAATATGAGCGGTGTGAGTCATGGCAGATAACTACATACTCAACAGAAATCGGGTCCTTTGGCACAAACACCTGTGGATGACAGTGATGTCCTGCCAACTGGGCAAAAGATCTAGATTCCCCATTTAGAACTGTTCTCCCCTGGGAACAACCAAACCCGCCAAACCCTAAAGAAATTACCTTGGTGCCCAAAAGCTGGCCCAGGACCAACTCAGCTGAATAAATCTGCAGGTCTTCTTTTGGAGCTGAAAGCAGGCCCAACAAAACCCAAAGCAGGTGATCTATCCAGCTATTATCCACCAACGAGGCCCGCAATGCAGGCTTCATTGTGCAAAGGGACCTTTCACAAAGGTCATTGGCCTGCGGATGGTAGGCAGCAATACGGTGGAGTTTAATCCCAAGGTTGTCTGCCACTGCAATCCACAACTCTGAAGTGAACTGAAGACGTCTGTCGGAGGTCAAGTCCAATGGCACACCAAACCAGGACACACAGGAGTGGTTGATGACAGCAGAACTGCCTCCGCCACCGAATAGTTCTGCCCAATATCGTCAGGAGATAGGTAAAACCTCTGGAAGGTGGAAGAGGCCCCACTTTTTATCACAAAGCTTTACCTAAAGGTCAGGGTCCATCCAAAATTTTATGTATTTTGTCTGACATGGCCCTGTGGTGGGAAAAGTAGGGTAAGGAAAAAAATAACCCTATATAAGTGTATGTAGTATTGTATAACACCATGCTACTAAAACTATGGAAATAATTTACTGAACTGTATGCTCGTGATGCGAAGACAGCATAATAAAATGGGAAAGCAAAGAAGAACCTTAATAGCTGTTTGGTATAAAGAGATAGCAGCACTTGTAGGCCTGACTCTTCTTACCTCTTGGACCACCTTTGCAGAGATGGTAGCTTCACAGACAGCAGACTTGCCCCTCCCTTCGATCCAGTTGATAGCAGCAGGTTTCTTGTCTGTACAGTAGTTCCCACTGACTGCCACTACCTGCAGCTCCGGAAAGTGCTGCTGCAGCCTGCTTAGAGCCTTTTCTGTGCCCTGCAGACAATCAAGTTTTCTTTAAAAAAAAAAAAAGGTTGCTAACCGTGTCAAACACTGCATTCACATAAAGTGATAAGTACAGTTGATATGTTGAAAACTATTTTCTCATGGTTACCTTAGAGATCATATTCATTCCCATAGCATCTCCTGTCCTGCACTGGAAACGTATGTAAAGATTTCTCCCAGCCAGTCCAACCAACAATTTTTGTAGCCGTGCAAATCTGCCAATAAATGCCAAAATCATAAATTATTTGTAGAAGTCAAGAAGAAGTGATTACTAGTATTGGCCCCTAAGCACAGCTTATGTAGTGAGTCTGTACAGCTACACCAAGCGGTTTACCTGCTGCTGTTGTCAAAAGCCTCCGTGATGTCCTGAAAGCCATCTGGACTCTCTAGCCAGGCCTTCACCTCAGCAGCCTTGCAGGCAGATGGAAGTCTGACCACAGGACCACGAGTCATGCCATCGGCCAGGATGCAGCTGCTGGCTCCTCCAGACAGCTAAAGCAAGGAGACAAAAAGGATTAAACAGATATATTCAGAAATATAAATGTCTAAATGTTTAAAAAGAAAGGTAAAAACAAAGGTGAAGTGGTACACTTTTTCAGGCAGCACAGGGGAGCAACGGCAAAAATTATCACTCTGATAGGAAGTGAGACAACTGGCAATAAACACAACTTCAGAGGGGACAGACGAACGACAAGGATACAAGAGGGAAACACAGACACAGGTTGGGTTAAATATAGGCCTGTCACGATAATAGATTTTGCTGGGCGATTAATTGTCTCAAAAAATTATTGCGATAAACGATAATATTGTTTGAAGACCTTTTTACACTGATTTAATAGAAATAACGTAATAATACGTCATCGCACGAGGACTCAACATTTCATATGAAAACCTTCACCTTCTTGAATGGAAATTTCATGGAGCTAAATGTAACAACAACTCAGACACTTACAGCAATTGCACGACAGCCTCGGTTAGTGCTTGCAACTAAGCAGCCTTCTGTAGTTGCCATGGGAATCTGGAACTGTTTTCCATCCAGATGTAGCGGTCCTGCAACTCCAACCGGTACTGGGATGTAACCAATCACATTCTCACAGCAGGTACCCATAACCTACAAAAAATACATCTTTGTTAAAGACACAGGTTCGTGTGGATGTAGAGTTTCTTGTACAGCTTTCAATGTCACCTTGGAGTAGTCGTAGTTAATATATGGAAGGGAGGAGAGTGCAGAAGGACAAGAAAGCTTGGCAGAGATCATCTGTCTTCGTATCGACACTCCTCTCTCTGGTTTCTCCATCAAAGTCTCCAGTTTGTATGCTGGGATGTGTTTGGAGGTTACCAGCAGCATCACCTCTGCATCACTTAAATGATACGGACCTTGCTGCAGAAACACAATCAGACTTTTCAACGTTTTAGGAGCTGGTGGTTATTATTGAAGTCTGAACAGTTGTTGGTCCACCCAGAGGTCATTCCAACTATTTACACTTTAAAGGCTCAGGCCTATTTCATAACACTTATTTCATATTTGACCAATTAACTATGTATTTACTGGTTATACCCTCATTGATTAGATAGATCTGATTGTGTCTATGATGCTAAAATGTAGGTGAGGTTATACATATGAATGTAATGGTAAGAATCATAAGAAAGCAAGTGCACCCTCTTTTAAATATGCAGACGTGATCCTAATAAATGTGTTTTTACCAGGTTCTCATACGTTTTCACTCTAACCTTGTATGTGTACAAGGTTAGAACTAAAAAATAATATCCAAATTTAAATTATAAAACATTTAATAATATGACTTGTGAATTGTTAAAGGGGCATTATAGGATTTCTTCTCTATGTTTTACCTCAGGGTTGTTAAAGATAGACACACATTCATCCAGTCCTCTGGGATTCTGCAGCAGACTGGACTCAGTGTTGTCATACTTCATCTCCCCATTTTCTTCCCCAATGACAAACAAGCTCTTTGACTGACAGTCAGTGGTGGTGGCAGGAAATGGCCGAATAACTTCATCTAGGAGACAAGTTGGAATAAGACACAGTGCTATACAAAGCTGTTCCATGATCGTCAGTGAGGGCAGACACACCTCTTTCTTCCCTGCAAGGGGCTGCAGGTGGTGAAAATCTGGGTGCAGAAAGCTCCCTCATGCAGCAGGTCTTGTTGTATTGCTGGTTTGGGCTGGTGATGGGGTTCCTAAGAGACAGTGTAGACTCCATCTCCACTTGCTCAACTTGATGTACTTGACAGTCAACAGCAGAGCTAAGGCCAGACAGATCACTTGCTCTATGTCCATGGTTATCATTCTGTAAACAAGACAAACAGGCAGTCAGGTTCATGACTGACTGCAGGCTGGTATTCTTCTTGCTGTTCATTTTTCTTCGCTTTGGTCATAACGTAATTCTGAGTGATGGTCAAAATAATATTTATTTAACAAACTGAATTATTTGGTGAATTGGAGATTTTCTGCAACAATAACTCAAAACATTCAATATATTTAAAGGTTCATTATTATGACTAGGATAAGCTAGGATAAGTCTGTGGGTTATACAAAACATGTTCATTACATTTAATACACAAAGTCATTCTCCAATATTGAGATTTCACCCAATCAGTTTGAGCTCTTGAAAGACTGTGATGGGCTACAACATAATTATGCCAGTGAACTGCTAATGGCCACACCCTTCTAGCTCAGCATTTACATAAGCACATCAAACACGTAAAAATGGCTACAAACAGACATACAGTGGTACAATCATTTCTATCACCTGAAGAACATTTCCAGGATTAGAGGACTAAAGTCTCAGCATTAGAGAAACTCATCCATGTATTTATCTTTATTCGCATTGATTACTGCAGCAGCATCTTCACAGGTCTGCCTAAAAGAAAATCAATCATCAGCTTCAGCTAATCCAGAACTCTGCGGCTGTCGTTCTGACTAAAACCAGGAAGATAAAGCATATCACCCCAGTTTGAAAATCCTTACACTGACTCCCAGTAGCTTAGAGAATAAACTCTAAAACTCTAAAATACTGTTAGTTCATAAAGCACTGAACAGCTTAGCACAACAATACACTGAAGATCGGCTGTTGCTGAGGTGGTTCTGGCTCTGTTCTGCATCCCCAAAACCAAACAAGCAGAAGTAGTAATCAGCTTCTGCGCACCAGACAAACGTCCAGGAAACTAAAACAGCCAAAAAACTGAGTTTCTTTAAATGAAGGCTAAAAACCCACCTGTTTAGAGTTGCTTTTGAAACATAATCAATTAATTGTTAAACAATCTGATGTGTAACAATGGCATTTGACAAAACATAATGTTTCAATTCCTGACTGTCTGTTCTATGACTTTGTATTTTTGTGCTTTTATGATGTAAAGCACTTTGCTGAAATGTGCTAGCTACACAGATAAACTTGAAATAATACATCTTCAACCCAGAAGCAGAAGAAGTGGAGCCAGGGTGCAGCCAGACATTGTGCTGCAGTAAATCTACAGAGACATCTCTGTGGAGAAACATGTTAGTTTTGAATTGTATTGTCCATCTTGCTGAACACTTACACCTCCCACCAGTGCACAGTTATGAGAAACACCAATGGAAAGTGGTGTCAAAGTCACAGCAAAGCTGTTTTGGTTCTTCTAAATGGAATTACATTCAAAAAGACTGGAAACAGGTCTGCGCTGTGGTGGCGTAGGGGTTAGTGCCAGTGGCGCAGCCAGAGGGGGGGCCGGGGTGGCACTTGCCACCCCCAACAGACCCCTGGCCACCCCTACTGCCACCCCACTGGAAATGGTCATTTTAAAATATAATACTTATGAGATCGGCAAAGATTTGCCAGGAAAACTGTAATTTCTGACTGTCCCTGAAGGCAGTCCGATGCCCGACGCTGTTCATTGGTTAAACTGACATGTAGTTCCTGCTTGATCCAAAACACATCAACGGCTTTAGAGTTACACCGTCAGGAGTTCTGCAGGTATTTACGACATTTTACCGCTCAGCAGTAACCGCTGTTACCTTCCTAATGAGAGGCGGCTCTTGTCATACATTTCTAAAAAGAAAAATGGTTGTGTACCGCTGCATAGTGCCTCGTTTATCATATTAGCCATGTTAGTGCTGGTAGATCGTGTTTTAGACAGATTATTTTAACACATGTTTTAGTGACATGCTGCCCTCTAATGTTTTAGATCTCCCAGCTCTTGCTTGTAATGTGTGGTAAGAATATGAAAAACCATTAAGTTTTATAATGACTGAAATTATAACCTAACTAGTTATATTAATAAATTTTAATTAATGCATTTTTAATTTAGTATTTTAGCTAGCTACAGAAAACTAAAAACTATAGTTTAAATGATAGTTAAAATAGTGTTGTCTCTGCCAAACAGTCAGAGTCTAAATACCAGGCTCTTATTTTGTGTAGAGCCCAAATGAAGAGAAAAGGGAAGATCGCCCAGTTCTTCTTAAAGAGGCAAAAACCAGGGCCAGACCAGGACCAGACAGAACCCTGCAGCAGTGACCAGGACCAGACAGAACCCTGCAGCAGTGACCAGGACCAGACAGAACCCTGCAGCAGTGACCAGGACCAGACAGAACCCTGCAGCAGTGACCAGGACCAGACAGAACCCTGCAGCAGTGACCAGGACCAGACAGAACCCTGCAGCAGTGACCAGGACCAGACAGAACCCTGCAGCAGTGACCAGGACCAGACAGAACCCTGCAGCAGTGACCAGGACCAGACAGAACCCTGCAGCAGTGACCAGGACCAGACAGATCCCTGCAACAGGGACCAACCTGGAGAATCCAGCCAGGAGACTCCAGGCCCAAGTGTATCACCAGCGGGTTAGAGGCTGACAGAGAGTTATTAAGTTGTAAAATCCAATAAGCCTGATTCTAAAGGTTAGCATGATACTTTTTGCATTTTTTATTGTGTCTGTTTATGCATTTCCAATGAAGTTCCAGAGAGAGATGAGGGTGATACAGATTCAGTCAGACTCTGGGGAGGAAGACAGTGAAGCAGAAGGAAATGGCACTGAACTGCCCCCACCCAGCACAACCTATTGCACACCAGAAGCACCAGTTTATTTATTTATTGTTGAGAATTTGTTTTTGGTCATATTCTGGGCTCTGAGTTTACATTTACATGTTCACTGGTCCATAGAGCCGTTTAACGTCTTGTTTGGTCATGGCAAATCTTAGTTAAATAAACCATTTTAATTTGAGTGTGTGTGAGAAAATATTTGTTTCCTTTCGTTCATCATTTGTATATGGACCCTCTGATAAAGCCTTGCTCACCCTTTGGCCACCCCTTGAAAAAAAGTCTAGCTCCGCCACTGGTTAGTGCAATCCACATTTGGAGGCCATTAGTCCTCGACGCGGCCATTGCGGATTCCGGACTTGATGATATTTGCCATGTCTTCCCCCCTCTCCTTACCCCTTTCCTGTCAGCCTACTGTCGTACAAGGGACAGTAGAGCCTGCAAAAAGCCCCCTGGAGGGGAAAAAAAAGACTGGAAACAAGTCAGATTCAGGACTATGTATGGAAGTGGCTCAACTCTAACTCCAAAAAATCATATACGGGTCAGTTCTGAGTGTTAACTTTTATTCCAAAAAGTCTGGCCTGGGCATTTGGTAAAGAGATCCTGGTAATGGGTGAGAGTTAAAGCAAATGCATGTCATGCTTTCTGCACACACTGAAAAACACAAAAACAATTATTTAAAGAAAAGTGCTTAGATGAGTCCTACCTGCTGAGGTAGAAGTGCCACAGTGGCATTTCTGGCTCAATTTTTCTGGGAGATAACTGATCGAGTTCCATGCCAAGTTGTGCATTACTCCCTGTTGTATTTGAGGACAATGGTTTGGAAATCCATCGGCTGTGGGCATGAACCATCACAAGTCCAAGAGACTGCACATAGAGGAACCAGTAATGATGCACACACCCTTACAAAATAAATACATAGGGAGGATTTTCTTTGCATGCCATTACCATGATCATTTTGACTCTCTGAGTTACAGGATTGGGTTTGTTGTCCTCCTCCTCCATCACTCTGGAGAAGTCACTTAGCTGCCAGATCGGGTGACCTTCCTGACTCTCACGTGACAACTGGAGCAAATATATATTAAAAAAATCTACATGATGAAAAAAAGTTTTATTAGTACACCTATCTATGGGAGCTCAAAAAGGGGGTTTTACCTCAAGGACCAGAGAGACACAGGCAGGGAAGAAAGTCATAAACACAAAATAGTTGGCTAAAACAGACATGCATCCAAAGCCACACATGATTTCCAACTGTTTCACACCTTAAAGACACAAGAAAAATATTCAGCAGTCATAATTCACATACAAAGGAACCACGGTGCAAAAACATACATCCACAAAGTATTTTAAGCATACACTTTCATTACTTCTTTTTTGTCAATGACAACATATATTGTATGTGCAGCTGAGTTAAAACTTTAGGAAATATTACAACAAGACCAAGGTAGTATCTGGAGTATTCTAATAAAATTAACAAGATATAATTAAAAAAGGTGAATTTTTTTTCAAATGAAGCAGGATTTTTTCACTTCCTGTTTCATTTACTTCTCTTATTAAGGTTTTTTAATTTAACCTTTAAGCAGGATAAAATTGCATTGAGATTAAAAGCCTCTTTTTCAAGAGAGTCCTGGATAAGATGCAGCAGCAAATAAATACGTAGTGTAAAACAGAAGCCCCAGTGTAGAGACTTGCAATCTATTCTATCATTGAAAGAATGTTGGATTTTTTATTTATGACAGTTGAAGTGTGGCCAAGTTGAAATAAAGTTTCCTAATCCAACTATCAGCTGTTGCTAATGTACAACTATGTATATACAGTTCAATCTTTATTTTAGTAATCCATAATGACAAATAGCTGAGTTGTATGATGTGTTAGGTGTGGAGGGGGTACAAAACCCTAATCTCACCTTTGACGCTGAAATACCTAAAACTGGATGATTTGTTCGACTCTGATGTCCTAATCTGACATCATTTAGCTCCTGAAATTATTCATACCTCAGTGGTGAACATCTGAATTGTTCACAAACGTCCACAAAAATAGCCTGTGTAGAGTTTACATTTTAAAAGTGGACAGCAAATAACAAACTGATCAAAACTCAAAATTAAATCCTTGGTTGTAATCTATGTTTCTGATAATGATGATAATGATTATCTAAATAGCAAGAGATGTTAATTCAACACTGATTAAGATCAAAATGGTTGAAATTATGGTTAAGATTGACAGTGGATCAACCATTAAACAATCATCCAATTCTAGCCAGTTAATTGATGTTGAAAAGATGACATAGAATCAGTGTTGATTCATGGTTGAATTTCCATGACTGAAATGCCAACTCCAGTGTTTTTCATCCTGGTCCTCAAGACGGCAGGGTTGGAAAACCCCCTGGTGCTGAAAACATTCCACTAATTCAGCACACGTGATTTCAATTGATGGATGATTAACGGGGTTTTGCTGAATTGCTATCATCTGAATAGAATGTGTTGTCCTCAGGTCACAGTCCCCTGAGGACAAGGGTTGGTTCTCAGGTCACACTGTTAAATCAACATATGCTGTTTGTTGCACCCCACCTGTTCCCTCTCTTCCTCTTCCCCTCTTTAACTTCTGGGTGGGAGAATTTTATTACTAGGCAGGGGTTTACCACGCTTTAAATTAAGCAATGTTTGTTGAGAACAGTGGGTTGAGATTCCTTTCTTTACATTTTCTTACTTGTCTGTAAAAATTATTGCAGCCTGTTGGTGTGCAATGTGTAAACATAAAAATATCTGCAAGTCACTACAAGTAGTGGACCGGTCCACTTCTCCCTGTATTAATCAGTGGTATGTCCCACCTACACAGCGCCTTTGCTGCTGGCTTGTTTGCAGTCTGCTTCTGTATTGAATTCTACTCTGAGCCCTCTTGCAGTAAGTTTGGTGATATTACTTTTACTGAAAAATAACTGCATTGTTTTGTGTCTATGCTGCAGCTTGATAAGTAAGTATGTGATTATAAATGTCAACAAATTCACAAATAAATATTCTGTATATTTTCAATGTCAAGCCTCAACGTGGATTCAATATTTCTGCCGAACCATATTTCAACATTGATTCATTCATACTTTGCTACCTGGGCAGGCACTTCTCTCTTTAAAAGCAATTTTTCTGCTCTTTTCAATTATACCGGTTTTATTGGCTCACTTTACATTTTTTGCAACATCAGAACAGAAGGAAGTAGTACCTGACATGGTTCCTACTCCAATGAGTAAGCACTCAACCAGAGCATCTAGAGTGAAGGTAGGTCCGAGTACAGCCATGCCAGTTCCAATGTTTTCCCTTACTTCATCCTGAGAAAGTATAGAGAGAAAAAGCATAGCAATTTTATAAAGAATGCTTCAACAAGTTGCAAAAAATGTCTTTTCTCACCTGAGAACTGGAGCTTAAGGCAAACTTGGCAAGGGTGCAGGCCTTGGAAAGGTCAATGAGAAGTAAGAAGAAGGGCAGTGCCTCGCTGTAGAACAAGAACATGTTAGAGCTTAATGCACAACAAGCTGATAACATGATATATTTCGGGCAATCTTACTTGAGGCCAGTGAGCTCCTTATCAAAAAAGTGAATAACAACTGTGCTGAACACAAAGCTGGAGAAAATGGTAAAAAGACCAGCAATTCCTGGAAGAAAATGCATAAACAAAGAAATACAGTTGAAAACAGTTACATTTTACATGCTTCCAGTATCCTGCAAATATGCTGGTGTGGAAACAATATCTCACCTAGAATGTATTTGGATCCCAGTTGTCTTAAGCTCTGGAACTGAAAATATATGTAGACAATGGCTATACAACGAGTGATGGTCAGGATGATGATGTCACTGCTTAGAATTTCCTGTAAGCAACAAGGTCACAGGAGATATTAAAAAATATACAATCAAAACCTGTTCAAAACTCTTCAAAACTTTTACGATAGGTAAGTTTACTTGTATGACACATTTTCAGCAACAAGGCAGTTCAAAGTCCTTTACATGAATTGGAAAAATACAAACCAAAAGAAAGATTAAAAGATAAAAAGTATAAAACCACATATTGGTTCCCCATGTTTAATAAGAATAAGAAGTAAATAATTTATAAGCTGGTAGGAGTTTCTCTGGATTCTTGCTCTGATAAAACTAAATGTTGGTTTTCCATGTTTGATTCTTGCTCTGGGTTGTTAAGTAGATTGCACTTTCAAAGTTTCTTTTAAATTTGTGAACTAAGAGGAGTTTCTCTAGGTCTTGCACTGATAAAAAAGTAGGAAGCTAAATGTTGATCTAATGTAATGAATACTCCACAATTTCTAAAAATAATAAACTAAATGGGTTTCTGTTTCAAATGTTGGTCTAAAGTAATAAATACCGTATTTTTCAGACTATAAGCCGCTACTTTTGCACCCATGCTTTGAACCATGCGGCTTAAAGCCCAGTGAAACTTTTCTGTGGATTTTTCTTCAACCACCAGGGATCATTAGCAGGAAATGAATCATTGCAAGTCAAAATTGGAAATCAAAGACAAAAGGCTGAATGAAGATGTCAAGGTCGAGTGGAGGTGGACGAGGACTGATGACAGAGTCTGAAGGAGCAGGAGACAGGTTTGTGTTGTGTTGTTTTTGGTGATTGGCATAAACCTGAGTGTGACTGGACTGGGATGACAACCAAGGAAGATGGGGTGGTGATGATGATGATGATGATGATGATGATGATGATGATGATATGGATTTTGATGAATGGATACCGGTAGGTAAATGAAGAGGAAGAGGTAAGAAAAAAATTTCAAAAGATGATAGAGTGGTAGCCAAAATAGTAAGAGAAGCTTAGAAGAGTTTAGTTCAGATGAAGAAAACAGAGTGGTTTGCAGGAAAGTGATAAATGAGTAATTTAAGGTAATACTTAAATTCAGGAGGGGAGATGTGAACATAAATCTAAGTCTGATAGCAGTTTCTAGAAAAATAAAAAAGAAACTAGGGGAGGTGGAATTTGTAAAAATCTTGTGAGATGGAAACATGTTGATCAAATGTAAATCTGAAGAACAAAAAAATAAAAGTATGCAGATTGATAACAATTGCAAAACGGTTGTGAGTGAAAGAAAAATTGTTGGAGAAAACAGTATATCACGTGGTGTAATCACTGGTATTCCACTCGAGGAAGATTTAGAAAAACTCAAAAGAAATATACATGGTGGGAAGTGCGGAGATTGAAAAGGTTGTTAAAATTTGTGGATGGGGAAAAATAGAGTGTCTTTTGGTACTTCTGGAGTTTCAAGGTGATGTTCTTCAAGGTGAAAATTGGTTTCATGAGTTTTTATGTTACATCTTATATCCCTCCTCCTTTGCGCTGTTACAAATGCCAAAGGTTTGGTTTCATTGCATCAGTGTGTGAAAGGAAGCAAAGATGTGCTAAATGATATGATGAATCGATACGATGAATGTGGACTGGAGGTGCAGTTGAAATGTTGTAACTGTGGTGGAAAGCATAATGTAGCATATGGAGGTTGTGAAGCAAGGATAAAGGCAGCAGAAATACAACAGCCGAAAATAGTTAAAAACATTACTTATGCAGAGGCAGCAAAAAGTGTTCAAGAAAAAAGAACAGTTCAGAAAAATCAACAAGTGTCTTCTAATCCAAGTCCAGGTCCCAGTCAAAGAACAAGGTCAGGAATGGAAATCACAATGGATAAATTAATTTTATTCATTGTTATCACAACAATTGTTATTGTTGTGATAACAATTGATAATGGAGAAGGAACAAGGATTAATATTAGAAATGGAAATGAATCAGCATTAGATTTAACTTTAGTTTTAGAGAATTTTGCTAGAATTAGTAATTGGAAAATATTAAGGGAATCAACTAGAGGAAGTGATCATCATCCTATTCTTATTGAAATTGGTCTAGAAATGGGAAAAATTGGTCATGAAAACATAGAAAGATGTATATTTGGAAATGTTGATTGGGAAAAATATAAAATAATAAGTGATGAAGAAATGCAAAAAGTTAATATAGATTTGGATGTTGAAAATGTAAATTTTTCTATTGGTGAAACCATTTTAGGTGCTACACGTGATCCAAAAGAAAACAGGAAAACATAAGAAGAAGAAATGTGATGTTGCAATTAAATCTCGAAATAAAACTTTTAGTTTTAAACGAAATCAGAATTTTCAGAAATTTATTGAATATAAAAGGTTACAAGCTCTTCTTAAAAGAACTGTGAAAAATGCAAAAAAAGGTTTATTGGGGAAACTTTTGTGATTAGATAGGAAACAAAAATTTCAAAAGTTTGGGGAATGATAAAGTGAATGAATGGAATTAGAAGTGAATATGGATATCCAGTTCTAAAAGATGAAAATGTTATTGCTATGACTGAAGAAGAGAAGGCAAATATGTTGGTTAAAAATTTGATCAAGTTTATTATTGTAATAATTTAAGTACAGAAGAAAAACAGGGAAGAGTTTGTACAATTAATGAAAATGTTAATTTATTAGAAGAAAATGTAAGATGTAATGACTTATTAAAGAGTCATTTTTCTTTATTTGTATTAAATAGTGCTTTAAGAAATCTAAAAATTAATCTCCAGGAAAAAATAACATTACTTTTAATATGGTTAATAAGCTTAGTAATTTAGCTGAGAAGGTTATATTGGAATTTTATAATAAGATATGGAAAGTGGGGTTTTTAACTTTTGGCATGGAAGAATCAATCATAGTTCCAATCTTAAAGCCAGTTAAAGAGCGGTCAAATCCAGCTTTAACTTCACACTTATGCAAAATAATGGAGAGAATGATAAATGAAAGATTGAGCTGCTTTGTTGAAAAGAAGGGATTTATCAAAATGTCAAAGTGAATTTAGAAACGGTAGAACCATTATGGATCCTATTCCATGTTTAGAACATGAAATAAGAAAAGGGCAAGTTAATAAGGAGAGTGTGGTGGCTGTGTGAGGATTTGGGTTCTCTGTGTTAATTTTGAGTTTTCTGTTGTCTCTGCATCTCTGTGTTGTCGTGTCTTCCCTTGATTATTCCCATGTGTGTCTTGTTTCCATGATTACCGTCAGTGCATTTAACCCTACATGTGTTCTTGTTCCTCATCAGGTCCTTGTCTTGTCTATTCTGTTTTTTGATGTTGCAATGTGTCCATTCGTCTCCCCAGTTGCTACCAACGTTGAACCCCGTCTTCCGCTCAGGCCTGCTGCCTGGCAGTTTGGATTATTTGTGATTATCATCATTAAACTTTCATCTCTCACTTCTACCTGGGTCTACTGCGTTTTTCTCACCACTACATCCACACCTCATGACAGAAGGAGTCGACCAAACTGTATGGTGAGGAACGCTAAAAGAAATATACATTCAACATGAACACACCTCGTTGGTACAAATTAAAGAGAACAATCAAGGACTTCATAGAAATGATGGCTGAGCCATATTTCGTGTACAGGCATCTCTTTGTGCTGGAGGACTGGTCCGATCACCTCTGTTTTCTGGAGCTGCAGCGGGAAGCACAGTGGGTACGCCAGACAGCCTTTGCCGTCATGGCTGGTGACAATCTGTGTCCTAAGCCGGACTTCCACCAGCTCTCCTCCAGCATCTCTGGGACCAGCACCGCTTCCAGCCCCCGCTCCTGCATCTCCGGGGCCGGTGCTGGCCACAGTTCCAGCTCGTGCGCCCACCAAACCTTCTGTCACCGCTGCAGCGATTTTTACGCACCTTGCCACTGCTACAGCCTCACCCCATCTGGCCCCAGCACCTGCGTCTTCGGAGCCGGCCCCACCTCCGGCCCAAGCTCCGTTATCTCCAGGACCACACCACCTCTCGCCGCCGCTACAACCCCTCCGCGGCCAGAGCCCACTGCAACGTCCACTGCAAGCCATCCACGGCCAACGTCCATGTCCTTCCCAGTTAGTAGGTTTACTGACCCAGTAAGCAGGTCTTCCACCCCAGTTAGAGGGTGTCTTCCCAGTGTCTCTTTAGAGCAGTTCCTTAGTGCCCCCTTTGAGCCTCCTAGTGACCCCTGCAAATCTTCTACTGCCTCTTCCAGTGTTCTCTCATCGCCTCCAAGAGCTCCTCCCAAGTCCCGGTGTCCTGGTGGCCCCAGAGACTCCTCGCTGCCTCCTGGCGTCTGGCCCCAACACCGGCGACATCCACCGGGCCTCCCCCATGGTTCCCGCCTTCAGCGCCGCAGAGGTCCGCCGAACCTTCTCTGGGGGTTCCGCCTCCTGCCCGCTGGACGTTTTACCCATGAGTCTCACCTTCAGCGCTGCAGACGCCCAGCGGACTTTCCCCGTGGGTTCCATTTTCTGCGCTGCAGACGCCCACTGCGTGTCTCCACCCACCCTGTTGATTGTTTTCTGTTTGTTTTGGACTCTTGCCCCCCATCCAGCGCCCCTCCGCCCACCCACCCTTGTTGTATTTTTGGGGCATCTTGGAGCCTCCCTTAACTTAGACTTAAGACTTGTACTTTATTGATCCCTTGGGAAGACTCCCTCAGGAAATTAAAGTTACCAGCAGCTTGCAGGCAAAAAAGTGGCACACAGTAAGCATACGCAAAAGGATACAATAAAATAAATAAAATAAAATACAAAGGTACACAGTGAATGTAATGAGAATGTAAATACAAAACAAAGAATATAAATACAACACAAGAGAAAATATAGGAATTGGCGGATAGATTGACCAGTGATATGGTATTGCACTATATAGTTTTGCCTGATAAATATGGAGTTCACATTTGTAGAAAACTACTCCTTCCTTCTGTCCTGTGTCACCCCCCCCAATGAGGAGTTGTACCGTCATGGTGTGAGTTTTTCTGTGTCTTCTGAGTTTTCGTGTTGTCCTGTCTCCCCTTTGATTACTCCCAGGTGTGTCTCTTTTCCTAATTACCTCCTGTGTATTTAGTGTTACCTGTGTCTCTGAGAGAATGAGAGAAAAAGCATTGAAAGCAATATATACTTGTTTAATAAGGTCGGTATTTGATTATGGCAGTATAGCTTTTGAGTCAGCATCAGAAACACTACTAAAAAAATTTGATAATATTTAGTATCAAGCCTTGAGGTTATGCACAGGGGCCATCAGAACTCCAAGGTCAGCTTTACTAGTAGAAAAGGGAGAGATGCCACTTCATCTTAGAAAAGTACAGTGAAAGACGAATTACTGGTGTCATTTGAAGGGCTACAATGGAAATCATCCATGTCAAGAAATTTTAAAACATTGTTGGAAAAGGAAAAAGAGAATTTAAATTATTTTGGTTGGGAGAAATAAACTGATATTTGACTTAAATAACAGTCAAACAGTTCTTTCACCAGTTCATCCGTCTCTATTTCCTAATAGTGTTGGAGAAAAGGAAAAAAGAAAACCTTTCAGATTGATTCTCATTACAATCATATTTAGATAATAAGTACTATGGATATGTCCAAATAAACATAAACAGGCAAATTCTGGAGGGTAACTTGTTTCCATCTTAAAGACAACTATGGCTTTGAAGCATTTTTGTTTTCAAGACAACAACCTGGAACATCCAGCTGAAGCTTCACAGAAATGATTTGAAGACAGCAAACCAGAAGTTCTGAAGTGTCCCAGTCAAAGTCCAGAACTTAGTCTGATAGAGTATTGTGATTAGATTTCAAAAGGAGCCAATTCCTATGCAACATGGAACAGTTTTACTAAAAAAATAATGGAGGAAAATTGCAGAGTCCAGATATGTAGTCTAGTTGAGACCAATCCAGTCAGACTCCCTGCTGCGATTGAAGCCAAAGGTACATTGACATTGATGAACTGTCAATGTCAATGTACATTGACAATATAGTACAATACTGTATTGTCACTGAATACCCCCTTCAATACTAACTTGAAGGGGGTTTTGGAATCACCTATTTTATGTTAAATGTTTTTTTTTAATTATCAGTATTTTGTAGAAATCAATTTTCACTTTGATCTAAGACTTCATTGAAATTATCTTTCCTTGCCAAAAAAAAAAAATTAATGATCATGATTGACTTGTAAAAGCAACAAAAAGAGGAGAATACTATTGATAGATACTGTAAAGTATTCTTATTCTTCCTAGCTTTTACAGTTTTTAATATAACGAGAACAAGGACTGCATAACATTACTACTGTTAATATGGCAAAGTCAATAAATCCAGATTTTCTTCTCTCAGTCATCTGCCATATACTGTATATCTCTAACTCTCTACCTGACCCTTAGCATTTTGGACACTTTCACCTGTGATATGTGTGACCATCTGCTGCAGGACAACTTGCTCCAACAGTTTGATATTTTTTTGTTGACATGCAATGTATGATTTTAGATACTTGAAAAGTGACAACCAACAAAAGAAAAACTGAGGCGACAACTTTTTGAGACATATAATCCAGCCTTGTGAGCACCTTTGAAAGGATTGTTGGTTGTGTTACCTCTTCTGTTTTGGGGCAGTCCAGATTCCAGCCGCAGATCTGATCATTGCCGGTGAACATGTTCATGGACAACATGCAGATGGTGAGGGTGATTGTCCCAACAATCACCTCCCATGGGTGTGAGGCCACCAAGAGGCCGTGGGCGCGAAACAGAGGACTTAGCATGGTGCAATAAAGCTAAGAAATAAAACAGGAAAATATTGAGATGAAAATTTGGAAAGATGTTGTAGGATAAAAAGATAAAGTGCACATAATTAATTAATTAGAATTTCTATTTTGTCCTCATCCAACTTCTCCATATAAATAAATAAATAATATCCCTAAATATCCCTGTTGATGTGTCCTTTTCAGCATAGAAATCGGGTTTAAATTTTTTAGAAAATGTATTGTGATGCCAATTATATGAAAAGGCTTTGCAACTTTCTTACTGGCTATTTTTTAAATATATAAAAATTACGTTTATGTAATTTGAGTAATTTCAATAAAGTATTGCTGTTAAATATGAAGATTGTACACTGTAGCAACTAACTAATGCAGTTTTTGTAGGGTAGCAGATTGATAACTGACATTGGATTAGAAATAAATGGTAAGAAATGAGGTTGTTACCTTCGGTCCTGCTGCGGTGGACGCTGCGGTGGACGCTCCGGTGGACGCTCCGGTGGACGCTGCGGTGGACGCTGCGGTGGACGCTGCGGTGGACTGCTCTCACCCGCTGAGCCTGAACAGAAGAGCTTCAGCAGAGATTCAGCAGCTTTCGGACTCGGAGTCAACAACGATGGAACGATGATACGCTACGACATCATCCGACGCTTTAGCCAATCATATTAGTCACCTGTTTCAGGAGCGCGCTAACCACGCCTTGGTTTCCTAGGAAACAGGGGGTGACGGGGCATGGCCGTATGAAAGACGGATCTCGCCACTGCGTTGACTTACGGAACCAGAACGGAGCAGGGTACTTTTTACAGGAAATTGCTATAGTGGCCCGTATATACGACAATATTCTGTTTGGAACAGTTCTGAGAACTAAAGATACAGTAAAAAATAAATAAATAAATAAATAAATCAAAGTTAAAACAGAGAATAAAAAGAGAAGAAAAATAGAATTTACTTTAAGGAAAAAAGGACCTCGCTGCAGAAAACAGTAAGAGGCGGGGACAGACCAATACCATATTTGGAAGTGGGACCACTGCACTCCGGATAGTGGCACAAAAAGTGGGTATGCACTGTATGGAAAGCAGAGGGGCGCTGCACTAGAGGGGGCGCCAAAACGATGTGGGGACACTTTTTTCTAGTTGACATTTTATGTATTTAACCGCTGTTTGTGCATGTATGAAATGATCAACATGATCAATAACAGAGGAACGGCACGATGAGGCGCTCGTCCGCTCCATCTCTCTTCTTGTCGAGTTCTCCTCACCCAGGTGCCACGGCCCTTCGAGAACGAGCTCAGGCTTGTTTTTTTTCTTTTAAATTAAAGTCATCATACATAGTGCATTTGACACTATACACAGGTAAAACAAAAAAGTAATTAAATATGACTGAATATAAATAATAAATAACAAGCAAGCACATGCAAATATGTTAATCTACAAATACTCTATAAATGAGTGCAAAGAAAACTTGATTTAAGTTCTCAGACATTGAATGACTGCAGGCAGAAATGATTTTCTGTCTCGCTCAACATCTCCCTATAGATTTTCCTGACTTTGGGAAGTCTGGCGCTTTAGCTGCCTTCATGTAGCTCATCCAGCTGTTTCTGTTAGGTCTGACTCTAACGGTTTGTTAAATTTCTGGGAAAGGTTGGAGTAATTATTTTCTTCTAAAAGTGTTTTCTGAGGGGTCACATTTAATTTGAGACTTATACAGGTTTGTATTGTACACTTCTAACTCTATTTATTTCCCTGGGGTCTGCTACGGTTTCACCATTATCATTAAGAATCCAAGTTATTCTTTGTCTTGGTTCCAACTCAATAATCTGCCAGCCCAGATTTTTACTTGACTTCCCTCCCTGTTCATAAAATGCTTGGTTGATTGTGACTATACTAAAGTCTGCTCTGTCTGCCACTAATTTATTAGATTCAGCTTTTAAAAGTAGCAGCTCTTTTAGACTCCAGGGACTTTATTATTAAAAACTGTTTTTGTAAAGTTTGTACTTTAGATTCTAATTTTAGTTTCCAAGTCTTTTCAGCCTTTCTTTGGATTTAATCAAGGTACAACTAATGATGTGTCCTCTTAAACAGGTTTTAAGGGCTTCCCACCTCATAGTTTCAGATGTTTCCATTGTGTTCTCATTAAAATAGTTGTCCATTTCTTTCCTCACATATTTCATAAATTCTTTTCCTGTAGAGATTTTTGGGTTAAAGTCCTTCTAGCTATTTCTCTGATCAGGCTTTGATCTGTGTTTAGAAGACAGCATGGTCCATGGTCTGATATTAATATACTTTCATAACAGCAAAACTTATTTCAATCCTTTTTAAAAGCTTGAGGAAACCCCAAAGGAATCTGAGATGATCTTACTGTGGACTCTGAGATTGAGCAAGCAACTAAACTGCGGTACACTTCCTACGACTAATAGGAAGCGTACAACAGATTATTTGTTAAAACATCTAGGTCTAACAAATAATTTAGATTCAGCAATGATCTCAAACATTTTTCAAGAGATAGTATAAAAGCATTAGAAATTTTTCTGGAAAATGTAGTTAACTCTAAAACCTCAACCACATGATCAGCAATCCAAACCAAGAGTTCAAGACAGCAAAAAAAAGATAGTTAGCATCATGACCACCAATGTGTTTTAGTGTCTAGGTGTCCCATGACATGTGTGAAGTAGATTTTTCTTTCAAGAGAAAATCTTTTATTTGCATCATACAGTAACATAGTCTAGATGTTTTTTCATGCAGCTGCAGAAGGTGTACAAACTAAGTGAACAAGATGTGTCTGTTGAAGTTTCCCAGACAGGTTATCTGGGAACTCGCTGTTTTTCCCGAGGTCTTCCCTGCATGGAGATAGAGTGTTTAGTTTTCGCATCCCGTAAACATTACAGTGAATGAGCGTGTAAGGTTGAACTGTTCGTTTCTTTTGTTTGGTCTTAGAAGATTGAGTCTCCGCCTGTTAGCAGAGAGGTGAATAAAGCAACTATACAACTCTGAGTTCATTGAGCAGAATGATTTTCGCCTAATGCAGTGGATTTTTGCTCTTCGTTTGCAGATGTATTAAAGATTGTTTTTGCTCCCTGACTTTTGTCTGGACCTCAGTCTCTGAATTATGTACTTCACACATGCATTATTAACAGAACACATCAAAGTAAAGCTTTGCCAGAAAGCTTTACGGGGTGCAAATGGCATTAGTATCGTATTTTCCGGACAATAAGTTGCAGATTTTTTTCCATAGTTTGGCCGGAGGTGCAACTTATACTCCGGAGCGACTTATGCGAGGATATTAACACATCATTATATCATATTACATGTTATTTTCACACTAAACCGCAAGAGGGCGCTCTAGGCCTCTGTTATTCTACATTCGGAGTTAACAGAGTTGTTTGCAAGCGACACCCAAGATGAAGATTCCATGGCATTTAGCGATTTGGAGAGACACGGATGGTTTGGTAAACTTGTCAGCATGTTATTTATGCTAATTATCTAAATAACTCTTAATATGTTAACATTCCAGGCACGTTCTCAGTTCGTTGTTCATGTGTCATGTAACGTTAGCATACCGTACAATTATTCAGCCTGTTGTTGCGTCTATTCTATTTTTATTGCCTTCCAAGATGACATGTCTGTTCTTGGTGTTGGATTTTATCAAATAAATTTCCCTCAAAATGCCACTTATATTCCTGTGTGACTTATAGTCCGGAAAATATGGTACTTTGATCACGTTTTCTTCCTTCTTAAGTGTATTGCAGCAAATCAACAAAAACAATGATTGGATTCAAAGCACAGTCTCACACTATTTAAAGCAACAATTCTGTATTTCATTAACAGAACTAAGGAGTAAATAGAGAACAATCATTGCAGTTGAGTGGGTAATTCAAGTTTGCATGTAGAATTACAGTGCGTGTAGAATAAATGAACATGTTCCACCTTGTCACATAAAAAGTCCTTATCGACATAACTCACACAAAAACATTTGGCTCAGGTGAGCTGCAAAAGCCCCACAACAGAAGAAAGCGTGTCCAAAATCTATTTGTCCTGGAGCAGATGTCAGAGTTCATCGTGCCGAAGCGGCTCCTGGCTGGGCTGAATGAACAGCCTTCCATGGTGCGCCACAAGTTGTGCTGGTTGGGGGTGCTCATGCCGTGCACCTCGCGCTGGCCACGGATCGGGTGGCCATACTGCTCGCCTGTGATGCCCAGGAAGACGTCTGTGCCCATGTGTTTGAAGCGCACAGGCTCATCACGGTCCCAGTAGATTCCATCACACTGGACTGTCCACACGTCCAAATCTCCCTCTCCATTTTCTCCAAAGGCGCTGACTTCCTATAAAAAGAAAGACTCAAGGTGGGGACAGAATTGTTTACCAGAATTATTTGTGATCCAGTTGTCATGTTGAGGAATGATAGCAATGTGTCCCTTTATCTTTAAAATATCAAAGAATGAGTTTAAATATATTAAAGTCTCTCAGCTATCTTTGTGTCCTTTAAATTCTTTATAGCGCTTTATAAGTGCTAACATTATTATTGAGGCTTCCCTAATATATTAGCAATTGTTATTGAAATTCTCATAGCCCTTTCCATTTCCTTTCTTTCTCTTGCATATTTTCTACATTTAATTAAAACATGTTCAACCCTTTCTATTTCTTCACAATGACAACAAGCCCCTGATGGATGTCTCCCCATAATTTGCTGCTGCTCTTGTTAGTCTTCAGGGAGTTTTTATTTTTCCGGGAAGAGAAGAACCTTCTCACTTAAATTAGTGTATTTCAGAAGTGCAGCCTACAAAGTTAATATTTTTGGATATTTTTAATCTAAGTGCATGTCTTTAATATGGTTGTTTGAGCTGCTGGGTCAAGTCAAAAGTACAGTATTTCCAATAGATCTGGTAATGCTCAGATTTCCAAATTTTTGTTTGCTTGAACGGAGCATTACAATTCTAATGCTCAGATAACCTAGCTTTGCAATACAAAGTAAATTATCAATATTTTACAGGATCTCAAGTAAGATTTTGTGGTAAGAAAGTCTCAAAAGTCAAAAGCTAAGGCATGCTTATCATTTGTGCACAATTTGTAATCACAATCATCATAATAATAAGCAAATTGTTGTGACAAGTTTTTCTGCCCAACTTTTCACGTTTTAATGTCTTGTAATTACAAAATGGAGAAAAGACGTACATTTCAAATTTGCACCATGTGCTCTCCTATAGTTCGCATTCACAGACTAGCCTATAGATGTCGCCTATCTGGGACCAATATCTGAAGAACTGAAACCTATGGTCGCCTGGGAGATGTGGGGCTTTGCACATTTTCAGTTTCAATTTATTATTAATATAGCTGAACATTTTTCTGTAACAGGGCACAATGGCCTCATCTGCAAAGCCAAGAGCAGAAAACTGAGGTTGCAATTCACACAGTCATCAGAAGCAGACAATGACAGGCTGAAAAAAGGTGGTGCAAAACACCCCAATTTAGCTGGAGGGGTGAGAGTGTGACTCAGGCTGGTAGTGGAGGATGGATGAGGGGAAACCAACGTCACAGCCTGCTGTGACTGTGGTCCCTTCAGGACCACAATCTTCTGACATGAACCTCAATCTGTATTAGCACTGTGTGTTCAATAA